GGGGGGGTTATATGATTATATGTACTGAGTTGTCATTTCTTGGTGTTGCCGGTGCTGGAGTGTTTTTGAAGGTGGAGAATCTGGATCGGCATAGCTTGGCGAATGGTCCCTTATAAATGACAATGCGGTTGTGGCAGGCATTTTCGTTGTTCATTATTCATGATGCAAGTACTTGTGTCATTGGTTTCTGCAAGCAAAATGGATGGGGATCCTCCGCAAGATAGTACAAGTACTGAAGCTATACCGGTTCTTCCCGCAAAACTTGAAACACATTTCGAACACATGGGCTGACAGCATATCACAGCCAGTCATATCATATCACGGCTGCCAAGCCGAAGCTCACACCCAGGTGCCTGACCGCTCAGGGCGCTGTCGCAGCTCTTAGCGTGTGGCGTTCGGTCCTCTGTCTTTCCAAGGTCATTGCCTTGGATGCGGTGCGAACAAAACAGGATCGAACATCGCTGTCCTTGGATTTAGGGAAGGGAGTCAACCATTGTCAACTTCATGCTTCGGGTTGGAATAGGCTTTGCAGTGATTGTTTGGGGCTTGTAAAGTCGTTTGAGGGCATTTGAAGCCTGTTGACCGCAGATTTACGGCAGCACTTTCATCTAGTGGTCATTGGAGCCACTAGGCTTCTCTTGAAGGTCCAGGCAAGAAAGAAGTTTGGTAAGGTCAAGGAGGGGAGATGTGTCTGGGAAGAGTAAACTGACGGCCCAGGAAGCATTGAAACACCGGAGGGGCGTGTCCCCAAATGTGACAAAATGTCACAAGTAAACCATGGGCCAAAACAATCAAGGGTCTTGTTGTCAGCTAAGCGCGGCATCCGTCGGTTATGTTATGCTTAATCAGCAAAGACTCACATCATCTGACATCCAAGCCTTTCTTGCGTCCCTGCTTGTTGGACAATGCCATCAATCCCAGCATGTCTTGTCAAGGTGCAGTAGCTCAACATCAACGTCTCCGACAGGATGCTCTGCACTGGGATGCAAAGCTCTGCCTGTTTTGAATCAAATGATGTTGTCTTCTGCCATTCAATGCTCAGTTTGGAACCCAATACATCTCTGCATTCACTGAGATGGTTCGGGGTGTTTGTGCGGTGGGTCCTTTCTGGACAGCAAGCAAAGTTCGAACAACAGTTTTTGGTCCTGCATCGTGTCGCTCAACCACTTGTATGTCATCTGTGTCTTCACTCCAACTGGTCGCAAGTGCCAGGAACCCTGAAGCCTAAACCAACACCGAAAAACTGCGCTTTGCCGCCCGCCTCGCAGAAGTCTTTCTTCCGTTCGGTGGCCAGCTTCTGCTCCGGGTGTCCCAGACACCCACCTGGGGGAGGGCGAGACAAGGGTGGAGAAGGCCGAGTCCGATCGGAGACGACTCACGATGAGATCTGAATGTCTGAAGTGAGTCGTCTCAAGCAACGGGAGTCGAACGGGAGAAAGGCCGAAACGACCCAAAACGTGTGTGTCGCCCAGGACGAACGGGTGAAACGACGAAAACGGCCCAAGTTTGAGCGCTCAGGTTCAGACTGCCCCGGTGCCAGCACTTCTCAGCCTCGTTCCAGCTGTATGCCACTGTATCCTGGTGATGTCCCGTGCGGCTAACAGACCCTGCAGCCACCGTTCAATGAATTTTTGGATCTACTTGGATGATCAGCTATTTTGCGAATCTATGGCTGGTAACGCCAGAGGCCGGCTAACCACCAGTGATGCTGTCCCTCGTTCTGAAACATTCTGGAACTATATAAGATCGCTTCAAGCAATTAATATGACCTTCATTTGCATAAATAATGCAGCTTAGAAAAAAAAGAAGAAAAACGTCGGCCCTCCGGCGGGCAGTTTTAAGCTCACATTGCAGCACTGAAAAAGACCTCACAGTGTGTGGGATCTGATGTGTCTACATGTTTTTACAACATGGATTTGATCCGGACAACCCGCTGCAGTTGGGATTGCCAGAAAATTCAAACCTTTGCCCAGATGCAAGGCAGGCAATTATTGAAGAAAGAACATATGCTTATTGCTTAATGCTGTTCACAAGTGTTCAAGACTCAAACAACACTCTGACCGATCACAGATCACATGTTCTTCGACTTTGACCGCCCAAGGTCAGGTCGATCACATGCATCCCTCCCACTGTCCGGCTTGTCGAAGTCGTACAGGCACCAAGCTCCACAATGACTGAACCTTGGGATTGTTCAAGGCAATCCCAAGAAACATTGGAAGCTAAAAATACAACTGTCCGATGCAGGGGACTTCGCCTCAATGTCCTAGGGTTCTTGGCATACCTCAGGACACGCAGTTTTGGTGCCACAACCCCGCATTAAAGTCCCACTTGTTGGTGCTATGCCCGGCTACCTGGTCCACACATTTCACGGTCAGATCGAACTTAATGGAAGTCTTTGCACGCATCAATCAATCACCAGTCTCGACCCTGGGCGCCCCAGCATCTTATTGGCCAATGAGCGTTGGACATACGGCGTGTAGCCTCACCATTGGAAGACGTCATGGGTGGCTTTGACGTTTTTTCTGGGCAGGATGGAATTTGCTTATGCAGGTCGTTCATTTGGGGCGCAAGACGTCGTGGCTGGAGGTTCCAGTTTCCAGACCCAGGATGTCTCAGGTACGGGCTGGTCTCAGGATGTCTCATGTCACCACCGGTCCGTAGGGCGGAGGCCATCGCTGTGGACCGAGTGCACCCGAAAAAGATGTGTGCGTTCGATTTTGTGAGTGTTGGGCTGGGCCCCATATTTCTCCGCACTGGTCGTCGAAGAAATCTCTTCACTTCTGCTTTACTGAGACACCTTTCACCCACAAAGACGCGTAGGCACAACGCAGGATTAGCTTCTTTCGCCAGACACCCGGCACTGACCTGGAATGGAGAGGGATCTAGTAGCGATGCCAGGAGCCCCTAGCAGCGTCATTAGTAGCGATGCTAGGAGCCCCTAGTAGCGTCCTTGCTCCTAGTATTAGTAGCGATGCCAGGAGCCCCTAGTAGCATCCTTGCTCCTAGTAGCGATGCCAGGAGCCCCTAGTAGCGTCCTTGCTCCTAGTATCGATCCCTAGTAGCGTCCTTGCTCCTAGTAGCGATGCCAGAAGCCCCTAGT